GCCAGACAGGACGGCTGAGATTGCACAGAAGAAGGCACAGGTGCAAGGGATACGGGATATTGAGGATGCTCCAGCAGTGAAGCCATACCACCAACTAAGAGACCCCAGCTCGTCCAAGATTGTGCACAAGAACAACCCACAATACCCAACTTCTGCATCCGTCGCTGAGTGGCTGAACTCGAAGGAGATCCTGAGGGGCAAGACAGTAAGAGAAGACGACATGGAGCAGCTGCTCGAGATGATGGTACTCGACGGGCGGCTTGAGAAAATCTCAGGCACGAATTATCGAACAGTCTTGACTGCCGTTGACACCAAGGTCTACAATGGCTTCGTCGATGCCCCATGCGGAAACTGTCCTGTTTTTGACCTCTGCGGCGACGAGGGCGAGATCTCAGCCAGGACCTGCGTTTACTTTGGGCAATGGCTGGAGACGCAGTCAGAAGAAGTCTAAAAGTCTACTTTTAGAAGGCATAGCGACGGCGTTTTTCTGTTTTGATGCATTTACGGCTACCCTTGAGGAAATACCCATCCACATCTTCATTCTACCAAACTATCATGCTTCCTCTCCGCGTTTCACTTTCTAGTTCGAATGCTCCCACAACACTTGCGCAACTGAGCCCTTTACTCTCCTTTCCAACCCACACCCACGATGCCCTCGAAATCCAAGAACAAATGCTTGTCTTCCCCTCCAGCATCCTCAGTAACGATGCTCTTCATTGTCTCCTTGACCTCCTTAAACCACCTCTCCCTCTTCCCCTCCTCCCACTGCTTACTCAAAATATCAAGCATAAACCCCATGGTCGTCATAAAGTTGTCAGGAGTTCCACAGTCCACATTGTCCGTCCGCTGCACAACCTCGACCCTCTCCAGCCCCACCTCCTGCAATCGCTTCGTCACATACTCGCTCGTATACCACGGCCCTCCCTTCATAAACGTAGCCCACAGCTGCTCCTCTGTCGGTAAAACAGGCCCACCCTCAATCCTCTCGTACGTCCTCGCCAACAACTCAAACCACGGCAACCTAGCCCACGTACTAACGCCCACCACACCACCCGGCCTCACCATCCCGCTCAATTCCCCCACCGTACCCGGCGGCATCACAAAAATCCCGAACCCCACAAAAACATGCGTAAACCCGCCTTCAATCCCTACTCCACTCTCCCCCAGTTTCGCGCCATCCACTACCCTAGTCTCCACCAACCCTCCCCACCCTTCCTCCTGCACTCTCTGCCCCAAATACCCAAGCATGGGCTCACTGACATCGCCCGCAAGAACGCTCACACGGTTCCACTGTTCGCGCGGCACCGCGGCGAAGATTTCGGCCTCCACGGCGCCGGTGCCACACGCGAGGTCGAAGACGTGGGCGGGCTGAGCGCCGAGGGAGGACGTGAAGTTTGATTTGGAAAGCATCAGGGAGGCAAAGGGCCGTGTGGCGGCTTCGGCGGCTTTGTAGAGAGTCGCGGCTGTGGATGAGGTCCAAGGGGACGCGGGGGCTGGTGTTTGAGGCGGCATGTTGGATGGTCTGGTGTGGTGTTGTGGGATATGGGGAGTTGGTTATTGAAAACGATGTGTGTGTGTTGTTGGATTATTGGAGAAGAGACGATGAGTATACCCAGGTACTTATAAAGATATCACTCTCACGCTTCACGGCGTCGTTTTCCCCTTCCGAGTTGCGTATCCGCGCTTACCATACCACCAACCCCATCTCGGTCTCCGCACAGTCAGCTTACCACCTCGCCACGAACGGCTCAAATTCCCAAAGAGAGATGACCAATTTCTGTCCGCGGGGACTCGGCAACTAGATGAATGCATGCTCGGAGACATATGATGTGATTACGAAAGCGAAAAGTCGCCGAGGCAGGAAGGACATGGTGCGAAGCAAGTGGTGACAAAGATAGCACCTCAGTAATCGCAGCTTGGGAGAGAACGGTACATGGGATTTCGGATCCAAGGTGAGGATTATGGAGGGAAGAGGGAAAGTCGTAGTGGGATGTGGGATCGATAAAACGTAGCGCAGTGCAAACAACCAACAGGCGACGTTTCCCCCCAGGTGCTTGTCAGGTTCTAAGATCTTACGGCTCACGGGAGAAGAACAGCCACAACCCGAGTAAAGCCATGGCCCGCCTGAGAATTGAAGAGCAAGTTGTAAGATCAGGATGGCCGCTTTCATACCCTGGCCCTCGACACCGTGTGATCTGGCGAACGGCTCGGGGCTCCAGAGCGAAAAGACCAGGTGTGTCTCTGCACGTTGTCAATGACTTCTTCTAAAAAGAGATTTTATGGCGTCTAAGCCATTGAAATCTTCACCGACTCAACATATGATGGATGGATAATTGGAAATTCGTGCTACTCAAGCGACGCGAGTCGACAACCACATCAAAACGGCACATTTGCAAGACTCACAGTCCAGCCCCTCCTCCATCACTCTCCTCTGCCAACTTCACAAATTCCAACATCGCCCTAAGTACCGCAACACCGCTACCCTGGGTTTCTACGGTACGGCCTCGACCCCGATCGTTCAGGTCGCGCGGACTGCTAGACCTCGTGTTGTCCTCATCGTCATCGCCATTTACATCGTAGCCCGCTACCCGCTCGCCCTCGGCGCCACTTATTGACTGTACATCGCCATCCTCGTCCTGAACATCGACCGCGTCCTCGAATCTAGCCGTGTACTCCTCAGGTCTATTCCTATAGTCCACCGCACCTTCTTCGAGTCTCACCTTCAGCGTCGCTTGATCATGTACATCAGCGCCCCACCAACTACCAAACTTACCCTGCTCATTTCTCGTCCTAAGTGCAGCTTGGCCGTTATGTATAACCCACTTCGCGTATTCTTTACAGCTCCTAGCATGCAGAGTGCGCGTCTCACGACTCGCTGCGTGCGTCCGACCCGGTCGTACAGGTACTGTAGGTAGCGCTGTGCAGAAAGTAGTGAGGTGGTGGAAGAAGATGCCTTTGAATGTCTGACCATCTTGGTTGCAAGTACCAGACGGATCGCATGCTTCGGCCAGGATACCGCTTGCACCTAGGCCAGCCCAAGAAGTGCGGGTATCCTGCTGTGATTCTGGATTTCTCTCCGGACGTATAGATGCAGAACCTCTGAAATATTCATCATCCCAGCCCGTGGCGCGGATAACATTGCGCACGAGCTCATGCCCGTCTTCGAGATAGACCTGGTTGCCTGTGGCCTCCCAGAGACCTCTGAGTCCAGACAGGACGACGCCCTGGTTGTACGTATAGACCATCTCATTGCGCTCATCGCACTCTGTCTTGCTGTGATTCGTGCGGTAGCCAGCAATGTGGAAACCATCGACGTAGAGACCTTGATGGTTCGTCATGCCACTGTTCTTCAGCCAATCGTAGCCATGTATCGCGTTGACTAGATATATGGGGTCGTACGAGCTGTCTCCTCTGACACCTTCATCACACTGGTCACCGTGCTCTTGTGCGTGGAGAAGTGCATCATTGGGCTCCTCATCGTTTCTATCCTTGATCTTGTCATATTGCGAGAGAAAAGGCGAACAATTCGTGTCTCCTGGGAAGTGCAAGTACATCCCGATACTCGCCGCGATGAAGAGTTGGTTTGTGATCGCGTTCTTGTAGGGTAATAAGCGTGGATTCCAAGTCATGCCTCCACCGCAAAGGCGCCAGTCCCACCCTTTCTCAGCAAGCTCATAGAAGACTCTGGCGCGATGAGCATAGCCTGGTATAAATTGGCGAGCATGCCATTCAGGGGCTGTTGCCGCGTTCTGAGAACCAGAAGTATAGTGTCCTGCGGAGTGCTTCTCAATGAACTGTATATTCTCTAGCCAGCCCAGCACAACCCAAAGGATGTCGTCGTACGCCTGCATTCTTATCGCAAAGTGGTCCTCGCCGAAGTAGTATGCCGCAAGCTGTCCAAAGTACTTGTTGATTTCATTCTCGACCATTTGTGCTTCGACATCAAGGTTCTTAGACCTATCGAAGGTGCCAGGCATCGTGTACGTGAGCGAGCGTGACAGCGAGGCTAGGGTCGCGGAGACGTGGGTCGACATGACAGCGGCTGTCCAGTCAATCGCTGTAGTGTACTTTCCCAACCATATCGAGAAGTACGAGCTCTGCATCGTCTCGATCGCATTGTGCAGGTCTTGCAGTATGTTGGCTGTAGAGTGCGAATATGTAGGCGCATCGTATGCGACGTCAGGAGTGCGAAGGTGTGTTTGGGATGTACTCTTATCGCTGGTCTCGTAGGCCTGTGTGCGTACTTCTGCGCTTATAATCAGCCTTGTAGAGCGAAGAAGGTTCCTTTCGATCTACCTGAAGATAGCTGGTCTTCATTCTGTGCAGCAATTACCGTAAACGTAAAGACGCCCAGTATCAAACTTGCAATGACACACAATCGCTTCAGCGGCAACTTCCGCGACATCATGGCCTCAATTTGCGCAAAGCGCTGCGCGCACTACATGCAACGATAGTGGTCTGTTGATGCCAGTATCAGCCGTACAATTCACGCGTAGGCGAAAGAAAGCCGCTCCTGAAAGAGCAGCATTTATCAATGTGCTGTGATAGGGGCATAGAATGAATAGAGAAGAGGGATGAGAGTCTCCTGCGACAGCGGGATTGCAAGCATGGTCGACGATCAGCCGCGAATGCATGAGGCGTACCCAAGACCGGGCCAAGCTCACTTTCCCATGTCAAAGTGCGTAGATCCTCTTCGTTCCATGGGTCGATGTCAGGTTAGTTGAAAGCCGTCGTGAGGGGTAAGCACGTCTGCCATGGCGTTGTTGCACGCTTGCAAAAGGGAAGGTGATGTCGTTCACATGGGCGCGACTGCTGCTCGTTCCATGCGCAATGAGATGGGGTGAGCACAGGCCGGCACCCAATCTCGGCCGCCCCACTCTCGCGTGGACCCCGCGCCATCGACACGGTCGCCGGTCACAGGCTGGATCATGAATCAAAAAATCCACGACCCACGATTTCTGTGTCTTGGCAACAGTATCGTCACGCGGCAAAAAGAATGTTGAACAGGACGAGACTCGAACTCGCGCGGATTGCTCCACCAGCACCTGAAGCTGGCGCCTTAACCACTCGGCCACCTGTCCGGGATGATCTGATTGATCTGATTGATGAAAGAGGTTGAGAGTAAAACGTCTATAATCTGGACATTGGACAGTTGCGATGGAGTTGTCGCAGATGACAGACGTCAATAGGCCCTGTCAAAGCGTAGTCAAAAAATTCGGAATGGCCCCACTAGCTTTACAATCTCTGCGAACATCAACGGAGATGTCATTCTGTAAGTCAAAATATCTTAGCAAGGTAGTTAGGGACGATTCAAAACAGACGTGCAGAACATCAACCACCTCTGCAAGCTATGCGACACTGTCAAACGCGCGAGTTATTTTGTCACCCGAGGTATCTATTACTACGTATGTTCTAGTGACTAGCAGCGGCGATGCGTGCGTAGAGCGTAGGGAGTGCTCTGGTGTTCTTAGGAGGTATTCGGTCAATAAAAACGAGTTTCTTCGCACTCGAACCTCGACGTGCATCACATAGCAACACAATGCAGTGTCACGTGTTGAGAAACGGATATGGCATTCTTTAGGTCTTAGTCTTGAGCTTACAGGTATAGTTTCGATATTCTATGAGCGTGGGAGTTGTGGGTATTTTTTTGTGTGAGTTGATCGTGTTACTGATGTGATGAAAACGAAACCAGGAAGAGGGATGCTAGAACAACATCACTATACTTTGGGGCTACCTGATACATACGCTAATAGCAAGAACGTGTTATCATATTACTAGGTGCTTTCGAGTGATTAGTAGCAATGTTGCATGCGTGGAGCGTACAGAGTGTCATGGTGGTACTAGGACGTATTCAATCAATAAAAACGAGATTGTTGAATTACAATGATTGATATACACTATGCACATTTTGTCTGACCACCAGATATCTCCCACCCATGCAAACCCAATGCAAAACGCCTATCATCGCTGACGCCAATAAATAGTACAAAGCATCGTTTCCACCCCATCTTCCCTGACAGACCTGCGCGTTACTCAAACTGGTTCTCGCGATCAACCCAGACATCCTCCAACTCTGCAAAGTTGTGGAAATGCAGCGGTCGGTGAATGCTGTCGTAGAACCTAACCGGTGTGTCTAGTCTGACGTGCACAGGCTTCTTCTCTACTACACCAAAGTTGCTACCCATGAAGCTGTAGTTCCAGATGCCGTTGTCGGGCACCAGGAAGTAACCACGGATCTTGTCTGACAAGAGGAGTTGGCACTTCTCACCAAAGGAGGTGCTGAAGCCGGACGGGTTATCGGACATGGTGTCCTTGTTGTCGGCGCCCCACTTGTAACCTTGAGGGGTGAGTGCCCAGGCGGCGAGCGACACGGAACCGGGCGTGAAAGAGACGGTCATGGAGACGGTCTTCTTGTCCCAGCTGGCGTGCTGGTTCATCAGACGAGCATGCTGGGTAACATCGCTAGCCTGCATGTATGGTGGCTCGTTGCCGCTGACAGTGTGGATGATACCAAGAGGCTCAAGACCATCAAGGTACTCGTGCTGAGGCAGGCTCTTGGGTAGCTGCACATCACGCGTGTTGCCGACTTGAGGGATCATGACGATGGTGCTAATCTCCTTGACCTGGTCATTGTCTGGTGGTGACTTACCGTACAGGTAACCCGCAACCTGTACGCGGAGATCTGCGATCGTGATGAAGCGCTTGAGTACGTTCTTCGGCATAACATAGGTGAAGTGACCCTCTTCCTTGACATCCTCCGAGTTGATGTAGATGTTGTTGGCACGAGTTCGCAGGTTGGACGTTGCAACAGCCCTAGTTCGCCACTCCGTCTTCGAGGCAAACGAGGCCTGTTCGTACTGGGAAGTTGTAGTGACAACCATCTCTTCACCATGGATGTTCTGTGTCTTGGTAGTGACAGCGGTCAACTGCTGCTGCTCCTCTTGCTGCTTGTCGATCTCGGCAGCCTGTTGACGTTGCATCGAGGGTGCAGAGATTTCCATACCAAGAATGATGTCGCGCACTTCACTGCTGGTCAGCGAGGAAGTGTTGACGTTGTTCTTCTTGCCGTAGTCGTTAAGGATGAGATCACGAAGTTGCACTTCGACCTTGATCCAGTCCTCATCCGACAGCGTTGGCCAGATGTGATGCTCCTGGGTAATGACAGTCTTGTCAGGGCGGAGCAATAGCTTGGTCTTGTCCATGTTGACGTGGAGAGCACGCAGAATCAAAATCAGACGAGAGAACGCGGTGTAAGAAGAGATTGTCTTCAGCCACTCGTCGTAGAGATTGAACAGCACCATCTGGGGCCCAGTGGCTCGGAGAATCATGTCACCGAGTTTCTCGACCTTCATCGCCGCCTGGAAGGGCAGCTGAAGCTCGGAAGCACGAATCGAAATGTTGGGGAAATCGAGAAGATGGACCTCAAGAGGATCCAGTAGACCCTTACGAGTAACGATCAGCTGCTTCGGCTGCTCTTCGACGGGCAGAGATCGAATAAGGGCGGCCACCTCTTCGGCTGTCTTCCACTTCGCTAATTGACCAAGACGCTTTTGACCAGCCCAGACACTAGTATGAATAATCTTCAAGAACAGCTGTCCAGTTCGAGGGTTGAAGATGAAGATAGCACCGTTGATAGGCTTTGTCGTCAAGTTACCTTCGAAAGTCTTGTGAATTGTGACACGGTAGACGTTGGTGTCATCAATGAACAGCTGGATCTGGTTGCTGAACAGCTCAGAATAGTTCTGAGAGTTCAAGAACTCTTGGCTGCTCTCGGAAGCGTACAGCTGAAGACCCTTCCTGATACGCTCACGCAGAACGTACAGTGCGGGGTTAGCCTTCATCACCTTGGCCATCGCTTGTTGGATCAACTGTTTGAGACCAGGGAAGTACTGTCCGTATGCCGAGTACAAGTTGTAGGCCAGATCAATACCAATCATAAGACCGGTAGCAGATGGGTAGATACTCATGCTGTCCTGGGTATAGTCAAGGTATTTGGCGCGAACGTATCGCTCAATATCGTGAGAGTCGTAGTCTCCATAACGGAGCTGGACGTCAACCCAGAACTTATTGGTGGTTGTGGAGCTCATCGTGTCTTTCGTGTCGTACAGCATGGAAGGTGGTGAGACGCTCCATTTGTGACTGGCGAACAGCAAGATATCGGCGCAAGAGCTGTTCATCTTGTATGATTTTCGAGGATGAATCGTCTCCTTCTGTACTGTCTCGATACCGAGTGCCTCCAACTCCTGATCGAAGACTTGGCACAAATCCATCACAACGGACTCGTGAATCTTCTGCCACAAATGGGCACGGAAGATCTGGATCAAGGAGATCTTCAGGGTTGGAATCTTGCCGTGCAAGAAGATACCGGTTAAATCAAGTTGAACCTGGAAACCGACGTAGACATTGGCTCGGTTGATCGTCGGTGACCACCAGAGAGTGAATCGACGGTTAGGGATCTGGTTAAGACCGGACCGCTGGGCGTTGGTGAGCTTTTTGAACTTCATAGACTCTTCGAAACTGTAAAACGTTAGCATTTTCTCAAGAAAAGTGAGGTTGGTGACTTACCCGCTGGCCTTCTCCCAGAAGAGACCCTCCCACGATGGGAAAGCCGTCGCCTTGAAGAGTGTGTGCTCGAGAATTGTCTCTACACCACCAAGAGCCTGTATGACGTCCGTTCTATACGCATTCAAATTCCAGAGCTTACCGTCGTGGCGCTGGCTCGTCCACCAAAAAGGGTTGCTCTTCATGTGTTGGTAGATCTTAAACTCAGTCCTGGCACGGAAACCCTTGTCGAAACTGAGAGTACTACGATCTTTTTGGAAGAGAGTGTTAATACGGGGCAGACCGCGATCCCAACTGTCTTCCAAGTCCTCAAGTGTCAACCGTCGATTTTGCTGCTGAGCTTCTTGACGCTTCTGTGAGTACTCCATCCACACACGCTGAGAGTCTCTGAACTCTGACTCCCACGGAATGATGTAACGGAAAATGTTAGGAATGAGTGTCTCCTCATCGTGAGACATACCGGCACGATAATGTGTGACACCAGTATCGGTCTGCTTCGACCATCGCTTGTCACTTGTAGGAATCAAGATATGGGATCCGGAGATCATACCCAGTCCACCAAGTTCTTTGGGCGTGTAGAACACAGCAGGAGGGAAACGCGAAGGCATCTTCGAGTTCAGTCCAATCTTGACACGAGTCTGGATCTTGGTCTCGCACTTGACGATAGTGTCCAACAGACTGACAGTCGAGACTGCAGCCTCACGGTAATAAGTGAAGAGCGCAATAAGTGTTGTGTTCCACTTGTTAGCGATTTTGGTAAAGGTAGTTGAACCAGAAGACATCAAAATCTGTCGAATGCGGTTATTGAACTTGGCAATGTCTTCCTCGGTGACCTGTAAGAAGGCGACTGCGGTCCGCTCCTTAGTTGCGTTATCGATCAGAGACCACACGCTGTCTTTCTCCGGGAACTCGCCGCTCTGGTTGCGAATCTTGGGCAGGATACGAACTTCGAATCCGCTCATAGAGAAGAGCAGATTAGGGTTGTCACGACTGTAAACACTGGCAAAGGTGTCGTCCCACTCAATCGTGGTGACTGAGCGCGGCAGACGGTTCTTCAAATCCCAGAATACAGCACGACCAAGGTTGACGTCGTGACGCATCAAGCGCATTCTGGAGTCGCGAGGCCAGCACTTCTTGTTCTTGTATCCGATCACATTCTCGAAGTTGGGATCGGGGTTCTCTGTCAAAAATCGCTGGATCAAATCACGCGACTCCTCAGCAGTGAATCTGAAGAATACCCAAATGCGATCGATGTACCTCGTGTACAATCGGATAGGGTGACGGACCTCTGTCTCCTTATCCTTGAATTGCAGGAAATCGTTGGGACTCTCAGGCGCACCAGCGATCTCGTTCGCTCGCTGCAGACCAAGGAGCAGAATATCAAGGACAAGACCATAGAACTGGAAAACGAAACCAGAGAACTGCAGACCACGAATCATACCGTAAGCGTTGACGTGGTTCATGTCTTTGTAGTTCAGCTGCACGTTGTTCTTGGCTGTGATGTAATCGGCCAAGTTGT